GGGGGCACACACACACCTGAGCTCCATTTTCACTGGGCCGGTCCTTTGCTGTTTCCAGACTGGCCCCGCAGGCCAAATCTAAGCACGCCACAGGCCAGATCCGGCCCGTGGGCCTTGAGTTTCACACCCCTGTTCTATTCTATGACCCAGCAGGGCACAAGTTGTCTAGTTAACACTAAGATTGTCTGGAATACTGATACCCCCTTAAAGAGTCACCAGAACTACACAGCAGTCTCTCATTGTCAAGTAACTATAAGTTTCTTTCCAAAAGACACCAGACTTTCTCATTTAGGGTACTAATCATCCATGTTTCACTTCCACGTTTTAAAGGTATCTTGCTTGGTGGTCACTGGAACATTCATATCTCAATTAATTTTATAACCCTTCTTTTTTTCTAGGAAGTTGGTAGGCGTAGAAGTATTATCCTTATGCCAGCTCCAGAAAGTGGGAAGAGAACCAATTCAAACCATCCAAAATAAATGACATGGCTGAACTGAAGAAACTGAAATGTTGAGCTTGGTTTCCTCAAACCCATCTTCTTCTCTTGATGGTGTCATTTTTTAAGGAAAAGTCTACAAAGAGTTGTTGGATTCAGGGCTGAATGTAACCAGAGGTGGTATTCAGCAGGTTCTGACCAGTTCTGGAGAACCGGTAGCGGAAATTTTTAGTAGTTCAGAGAACCGGCAAATACCACCTCTGATTGGCCCCGCCCACATCTATTCTCTGCCTCCCGAGTCCCAGCTGATCGGCTGGGTCTTCTTTTGTTGCCCTGCACAGGAGAATGGAGCTGGAAAGTAGGTTAGTGGGGTGGGGAGGGAATGGGATTGTGCAGTAACCTTTCCCTGCCATGCCTACCAAGCCACGCTCACCAAGCCATGCCCACAGAACCGGTAGTAAAACAAAATTGAATCCCACCACTGAATGTAACCCATTTCAACCGCTCCTGTATGTCCTGGTTCTTCTCATCCATTTCTGACCTTTAAAAAAATGAGCAGAGGGTTAGGAAGGGAGCTGCCAAATCTAATGAGTAAGATCTTGGTTCAGCCTTTGAGTATCTATCATGGGTGAAGACCATCCCAGTTAGGTCTTTAGAAGAAGAGAGAAGCCTGCCAAGGCCGACTGAAGGTCCAGATAAATAGAAGTTTCATAACACTTTGGTCTGAGGACTGCTTCCAATTTTTCAATGTTGAGTCAGGAACTGTACTCCAAAAGGTAGATTGGATCAGGATAGAAGATTAATTAAATGCAATTAAGATGAATACTTTCTGTATATTTAATATTTTTCCCCTTTGATTATAATTTGGGAAAGATTCCAGGGAAGAGACCCAGATATTTTAGGTCCGTGCTTTGATCTAAGGCTGTAGTAGTTATATATTGTTTTCATATGGACTGCAGGATGTAATTCAGGAGAAGCCAATGTCCCAAGTTCCTATACAAGACACAGTTATTTTCCCTTTCTCAGAATCTGAACTGTTTGACAGCATCGTTTTAATTTTTAGCTCATACAGAGCCTCTGGGATTTTCCTCTCACCTACAATTTCCTTGGCTGGACCCACAGCAGAGAGAATCTCTCTTGCAGTGC